ATGATTGATTTTATATATTTTGCACATAAATGCATTAAACCAATAATATATTGTGAATTCTCCCATTATAATTAGCTTCTGGTCAGAAGCCAAATATTTTTTATCTTAGAATGTGTAATATCTATTATTCTACTGCAATAATGCATATAGATGGATATTAAAAGTAAGTTGGGATCAATGTTGGATAAGAACCTCCTTATTCTTATTTATCTCTAAATGAAACAAGATAATGTTTCTAAAAGAGACTTATGAATTTGAGAGACCTACACTATAGGTTCCTAATATAAGAGGGAGAAAATTAATGTGTAGCTGGAAAAGAAAACACATAGAATGCATTTTCACCATCAAATGTAGATCCTCAAATATAATAGTATGAATTAGAAGTTCATAAAGTATTGTATTCATAAAATATTACTAATATCTGTCAAATGCAATTACTGACCCAAATGAGAATTTTTAATTTTTTTTATTCCAACTAAAAGTGCTCCTATTTTTGTAAGACATGCTAAAAGCATGAAAGTATGATTGGTTCCAAAAGAAAAGAAAAAGGAGCAAATGATCATGATGATCATATTAAGGAGGTATGAATTGCAAAAAAGGTTAAGACATAACTATTTGACCCTTGAAGAGGTTTAAGTGTCTGAAAGCAATAAAGAGATCTCGATAGGTTATGTCATAAAAGAAAAAGGGACCGATAATGGAATAAAATTATCGATAATAATTTTAGTGATGATATCATGTGATCAAATGAGGATCTTATATATAAATATATCATGAGATATAGACAGAAAAATGGTTGGCCAATAGAAACAAAAAGATATAACATTATAACAGGGGATTTGTGTATCTCTAGTCCAAGCATTTGAAGTGTCATGGGCAATTGTACCAAAAAAGAAAAATGCAATCTTGTGGTGGATTAAAATTTTATGTATCTTATCAGTCTAACAGTTTGATAATATATGAAAATATCTCATATGTGTCTAGAAAATATAGTGACTCATTATATACTAAAATTATATGTGAATCCAAAAGGATTCAAATTCTTGTATAATTTCAAATGATCCAATACATGAATAGATCTGGATCATAATATATGAAAATCTTTGAAGGATTCAAGTTTCTGGAAGCATAGAATTATGTTCTCAACAACACTACTCAATTAAGTCTCTATATGAGGCATATGTCGTTAATATTGACTGAAGGAATTATGTAAACATATTTCAATTTGTCTATTTATGAAAAGATTCAAAATAAGTTTGTTATCAGTATTATTTATAATGATAGCATCAAAACTCTTGATGAGTTTTCAAAAGCTACGAATTACTCAAAGAAAGAATTTGAAATGAAAACTCTGAGAAGAACAAATATGGATAAATAACATATATTATGTGGATAATTAAGTCACGTCTATTGTGTGCTTCGATAGCTATAAGATCTTTAAATGTCGATTAAAGATCTATGTAGACATCTAGAAAGTGATGAATAAATAGTCAGTCCAGAAGTATCGTATTTTAGAGTCATTAGAGCACGTGTATCTATCTATCCACACAAAACCCAATATATCATTTACTAGTTAGTAGGATATAGTTCATGTCACCAATATCAAGACGATGGAGTGAAATTAAGAATATTTTTTTATTACTTAAAGGGTATTGTGGATATTTGAAAGTACCCACAACTAATTTTATTGGCTATGTAGATAAAGTATTTTCATTTGATCCTCAGGTTGAGATATCACAGTATAATCCACATGTGGGTAAATCATAAAAGGACTATTTGTCTCATGATTCTCAGAAGATTATGAAATTTATATTTGACGTTTTTATCTTACTATAGTATTTGGAAGACTTGTTCGTTATATTAGATTTTGCAGGCTCAAAGATGTCAATTGATGTTGCCAAGAGGGAGAGTTGATACACACTGTACTTTTTTTTCTTGTCTATAGTTTTCTCCCATTGGGTTTTCCTAGCAAGGTTTTTAATGAGATAGCATTGCATAGTGTATTAATGAATGATCTACTCTTTTTCTTTCACTAGGTTTTTTTTCCACAGGTTTTTCCTAGTTGAAGTTTTTTAACGAGGCACATTTATATATATTAGACATGGGAGTGTATATGAATATAATAATATTTTTGTGAATGTCTATATATCTCACATTATCTCCTATATCTCATATAATTTCTAATATCTCTCATTATCTCTATATCCCACAATTATATCATACTACCTCCGGTCCTAATTATAAGACCTAGTTGACTAATTTGAGGAGATTAAGGAAGTAAGTTAAGTTAGTTATTTGTAATAAATAAGTGTTGTCATTCCTAAAATATCTTTGCTAATTAAGTGTATTGGCTAGAACTATTATTATTAGAAGGACTATCTTGGAAAAAATGCATAAATATGAGAGACAAAATGGATTGGGGTCTTATAATTAGGACCAAACTAAAAGTCAAACGGGGTCTTATATTAAGGACCGGAGGTAGTATTATTATGTAATCTGTAGATTTTATCAAAGGTGTCAAGTTGTGCCTATAAATAGATACCATATATAATGTATTGAGAACACTTGAATGGAATGAGAAATACTTTCTCTTGTTGATCTTTTTCTCTCTGTATGATTCTTCTCTCTATTTTTTTTTAATTTATAACAGAGAGAATAAATGAGAAAAAAAGTCAGTCCAAAAAAAAGAGGAAAAAAAAGAGAAAAAATGATGAGTAATTAGCTTAAATCTCTCTCTATTTTTTCAAAATTAGAAGGGCAGGTGCCAACGTGCAAAAAGTTGTAAACTGGATTAAACTCATGACCTCACATTTGTACAAGAGCTTTTTATGTCTTTTTTTTTTTTGGCCATAAGAGCTTTTATGTCACCAAACTATAAAATTACTAGTCGTATTAATTATTTATAGATATAATACTTTTGTAATAAGCTAAAGTATAATTTCAATCCACTAAATTTAGATCGAGTTTCAGTTTAATCTCTTCAATGTTTAATCTACTACTTTTGTACTTTCATAGTTTGAAAAATGAATTACTGAAATAGAGAGTTTAGATCAAATGGTACATTCATTAGATTTTATTTTAAATATTTTTTAACCTACAAAATTTATATTAAAGATTAAAAATATGTTAGTATTGAATTGCATGGTTATCATTTAAATTTGTTCAGTAAATCTTTTTCGTTAATGAAACTAACAATATTAATATCAAGGAATCGAAAATACATTTTATAAATTTAAAAGACTAAACTAAAATTTGATATAAAATATTATATCAAATAAATTTTTTTGGGGGGTAGAAAATCAATAGAAAAACAAAAACATAAAAACAAAAAGAGAAAGAAAAAGGATGTGATTCCCCATTCCCCACTCTTATCCTCTTCTTTAATTAATTATTGGGAGATGCCGTTGTCCTCCCGGTTCAAAGAGGCTCTTGTTTTTCTCCGCTTTGGTATCTTTCTTTCTTTGTTTTAATGTCTTTTTCTAAGAAATTGGAACATATATATGATGCTCCTCACACTTTTTCTTGTTGATCAATAATGAAAAACAAAACAATTTTTTTTAAAAAAAAAATTCAATTTTAAAAGTACCGTCTCAGCACAATTCAATTTTTATAAAAATTTGTCTAAATTACTACCCTCTCCCATTCCAGATATTTAAATTAACACTCTTCTTGATCAATGATCAGGTATGCTTCTTTTTTTTCCCCATAAACTCTAACACACATGACGCAATGAACACTAATGTAACTGCAAATAAAGCATTCTAGATTCAAGAGCCGATTTAGCATTGTTGAATTTAATTGGGATAGCTTTTTCAAAAATATTTTCTGTATGCGTGTGGACTTCAACTCAAACTCTTGTGTTTAAGAGATCAAAACCCATTCTATTATTATCAACGCATGTTTGTAACAATATTTGTAACACTATTTGTGGTTATTTGTTTTGGATAAATACGGTAAAAAAATATTGTTTTTATTTTCCTGCCAACTAAAAAAATTATTGTTTAAGGCTAAGGATATATAAGATCATATGTTTTGATCGCTTCCATATATGTTTTGATGCAAATCGTAAGAGATCATCAATGGGATTGTGATTTAATTGAAGACCCATTGTCACATTTATTTATAATTGTAAAACCTGTAATTGCTAGTGAATTGTTGTTATTCATTGTATTGTTCTGGCTGTTTATAATAAAAATTATTATTATTTTTTAAAGTACACGTATTTTTTTATTGAAAGTAATCCTATTCGAAGTACTGTCAGACATTAAATGTGAAAACATCTTCTAATAGAGATTCAAATCTTAATTCGTCACGTTATGAGGGACTAGCTCTTCTACTAGATTCAACTCTTAGTTTAAAATAAGAGTTATTTTTAAACTAACGAGAGTAGATAGAGAATAATGAAGGAAACAATACCCTATTTCAAACTTGTTTAGAATTTAGTTTTTTTTACAGTGATTTATAAAATACAAAGTAAATATATGAAATTTTCTCAAACGTATTTATTATTTTTTTAATTTTATTTATAAGGCACTTCTAACATGTTTTGTATTGGCAAGAAAAAAATTTTAAACTGAATTAATTCTTCTTTAAAATTGAATAACTTTTCAACTTCATTTTTATTTAATATATATACTTTTTTTGAAAAATAATAATCTATATTCATATTAAAAATTTAATAAAATAACTTATAAACAGAATAAAAAAATTTCTCTCTTTATCTCAGGGGTAAAACAGAGATTACAATAGCAGGCGCGCATACAGTGAAATCAGATCAGATCGCGTTTTCTTGTCTGCGTCAGAGAAAAAAGGCCGTCCCCAGCGGCATTCCATCTATCCATCCATCCATCCATTATAATTTAAAGAACAAGCGTAATCTAATCGGACGGTCCAAAAATTCGATTTTACATCACTTGCTTTGAATTTCAAGCACTGTATCATTACTTCATTTACAGTCATCGCACGCTCTTTCTCTCTCTGCTTCTGACTCCCCACCGAGCTAACCATATATGTCCGATCTCCTATTTTCCCCTACCACACTCTCCGTGTCTTCCTTCTTCTTCTCGTCCTACCCTGAGGAGCCTCGGGGGCAACTAAGGTACTCTATCTATCTCTCTCTTTGTCTATGTGTGTTCCTGTGTCTTCTGGGTAAGTGGGTTTGCTTTTGGTGGGTTTTGTCTATGCGGATACCTCTATGTTCTTATGAGATTTCCAAGTTGGATTGGGTGGGATTTCTGCTCACTGAATTGTTTCAGAGTTCAGATTTCTTTGGATTCTTTTCTTTATGTTTTTAAATGTTCCTTTGATTCTCTGGTGGGTTCTTTCTCTATGTGTATGTTCCTTGTTCTTGCGAGCCCAGCAGAGTTCCTGTTTCAGAGATGCTCAGGTGTTTGATTTTTATAACTATTTATGCTTGTTCGTTGTCCTTCTGAGGAGAGTGGCTATTTTGGAAGTTTTCGTTTTCAAAGATCTAGAAGCGTAGTTCAGGTGTTTGATTTTATATCCCTCTGTATCTCTATGTTTGTATACGATTTCAAGCCTTGAATATGTTGCCCTTTGTCAGTGTTTGTGAAACTGAACTTCTTGGATTTTGGAAGGATGTTTTGGTTCTCAGCCTTCTTCGGATTTCTTTTTTCTTCTTTAGTTTCCTTTGATTTCTCAGGTACCAAGAAATTGAATAGCAGTTAATGATTTTCTCTATGTTTTTCTCCCATGTGTTTGCAGGCTCTTCTTGTCAAAATCTCTTATTTTAAAGTGTGAAAAGTTGAAAAAAGAAAATGAATCACTGCGGTTACCAGATGAATTCCTTGACAAGCTGGGAGGAGAGGAGGATGGAACCTGTGGTCTGTCCCAAACCTCGTCGGTTGAGTATCCTAAACATCTCCACTAATGATCATATCAGAGCCCTTAAACGGCCAATCAAGTAATTTCTTTGTCCATTCTTGCCAATTTTTCAATTTATTTTTAAGCCTTTTCTCCATAAAAATTCTGATTTTCGTTTTTATTGTTGTAAAACAGCAACCAGTCCGAGATCGAAGATTTAGGAGCTGAGGCGGAGCTTATGAATATAGTTTTCTATAAGGTTATTTTTGTACAATTTTCTCCTTGAATCTTCCTATCTTAACTAGTATTTTCCAGGGAACAAAGTATACCCCTCCCCTGCCCTGCACCCCAAAAACGTGTTTTTTCACTCCTTGGCTTGACCTGGAAATGATTATATCTGCATGATCATTTGGATATTTGAATATGAACAATAAAGATTGTGCTTGTCATGTTATTTTTATTGAAAACTCTAATAACTAATAGCTCAAATCTTTAGCTAAGATTTGTTGGACCAACCCTACCCAAGTATCTAACTATGATTCAACTCAATTACAGGAAAGTTACACAGGAAGATTTGAGAGCCAAATGGCTTCTTCACCACCGTTTTTCTGTGGATCTCCACCTAGCAGGGCCTCAAATCCTGTAATCCAAGACGAACAATTTGGTAATGAAAGTTTTAACCCGTTTTCTTTGGCACCCGCTTCACCCTCCTCTTCTTCAGCTCGAGGTTGTGCTCGAATGAAATTTGGTCCCAAACCAGCAGCTGTGAGGATAGAAGGTTTTGATTGCCTGAACAGGGATAGGAGCAATTGCAGTATATCTGCTGTAGCATAAATAAACCCTTTTTTTCCCCAGAATAATAAAGCAAAGAAAAAACAATTAGAATATAAAGAAAGGTCACTGCAGGTGGAGGAGTTCTGGGAGAGTGAAGCTAATTCTAATTTAAGTATTCTTAGAGTATTTTATGTATATATGTGGTCTCTGGAAGTTATTGTTCGTGAGTAAGAAGATGTCAGGGATGATTAGAGATTTTTGAAGAAATGATTTTGTTTTCCTTTTGAAGAATAAAGGAAGACACAAAATGGAGATTGGAGAGAGACTAAAGTGGTAAAGCAGAGTCTTCCATCTTCACCTCCCTTGTTAGGTCTTAGTGGGTCATAGGGATTGAACGAGTTTGTAAGTGTTTGTTGCTCAGAAACTCAGATCCTCCATATGTAATTTTGGCATTTCGGCTCGGAGGAAATTGAGGATTATTATTATTTGGAGTCATGTAAATTATTCTCACTTTTTTTTTTTTGGTTGCGGGTGCACTATTTGGAGGTGTTACCTATTGAATAAATTCAAGTCGTTGTGCTGTATGTACATAAACTATTCTGTAAAGCAAGGCTATTATTTATATATTTTTATGTTGTCCTAAGGTAAAAATTATTATTTTGGGAGGATTTGAGGAAGTTTCAAACCACCTTGTATGGTCAATTCTATGTATTTGTCCTGTTTTTCAAACATTATGTTGATCAGTTTGGATGTGACTGCCTATTGATTCATGCGTGGGGAAATCAAACATAGGTGATAAAATTTTTTTTACGTATTACTCCTTCCAATACGCGATCTGGTTAAATATTGTTCCAAATATGAGATTTTAGTCAATTTTCTCTGTCAATTTATAACTTATTTCTCAAACTATGCCCACCAAGTGCACATAGTAAAATGTTCCTATTAATGAGTAATTTTAATGTAGATGATGATTAAAAAGGATATTAAAAAAAATCAACACACATATTTCACAAATAATTAACTAAATTGATTTTATTCATCTTTAAAAACTAATTATCAAGTTTTTATATTAAATATCGAAGAAAATATGTTAGATTTCAGGTATTTTAGTTTTTAATCAAACCTTATCAAAGGTGAGCTCTTTGTCAAATGAGACTAGTCAATAAATTTTTTTGGGCCAAGACTAGTCAATAATGTTGAACATTAGATATTTTGTCATTGTCTTGGTTAGGAAATCTTGCTTCTCCAAAAGTTTAAAGATGTTAATAGTATGATTTATAAAATTGCGGTTGCCCGTTTATTGCTTGATAATTATGTGTTTTTTTAAGTATTAATATTTAATATGATAATGTATGTTTAGTCAACGAATGATTTAGCTGGTGAATCATTTAACATATTGCTACAATCTTGATAATATTTTATTTCAGGGTGATAATTATACAAAAATATCAAAATTGAAATTAATTAAATTTTATAATTTGACAAGTTCAAAGTTAAGCACAGAATGGTCCGAGAAAGCTCTTTGAAGATGGCCACGAAGGGGAATCAGCATATTCTCAATTATACTTTGGGCGGTGAAGAAGGCAATGGCATCCACTTATTGGGTTTCTTTGCATTGCCTTCTCGGAAAGCAGTTTTTTTTTTTTTAAATTTTAATGTTCAGTTTATCAACATTCAACAACTACTAATTTTAGTAGGAAAAATTAATGACAAGTACTAATAAATTTACCTGATTGTTAATTAAGCTTTTATAGTTTTTTTAATTTGACTTTTATAGTTTCCTATTGATCCCTATATTCATAATTCATTAATTATTGCCAATGGTAGTACTGGCAAAATGAAAAAGTTTTTTTGGGGAAAAAAGGGTAGCAACTTACTAATCTTTTTGTTTTTTTTTTTTTCTCTCAATTTGCTATAACTCACACTCCTATCATATTGATGGAGGTGGGACTACAACCTTGGACCACTGATGTTTCTGTTTTTAATGCTTATGACGCGTAAGCAAAAAATATTGAAAAGGTATCATAATATAATACTACCTCTAATCCTAATTATAAAAGCTAGTTGACTGATTTGAGGAGATTAAGGAAAGAAGTTAAGTTAGTTATTTGTAATAAATAGGTGTTGTCTTTTCTAAAATATCCTTGCTGATTAAATATATTAGCTAGAATTATCATTGTTAGAAGGACTATTTTGGAAAAAAAATACATAAATATTAGAAACAAAGTGGATTGGGGTTTTATATTTAGGATCAAAATAAAAGTCAAACGAGATTTTATATTAAGAACCAGAAGTAGTATTATATTAAGAGATATTTTATCTTCAAATCAATGATAAATTGCAACAAAAAAAAATTATTTGCATGAACCAAAATCAAATATCTCTTATGATTCTCCCTTGACTCTAGAATTTGGAATAACTCATCGTAATACCTAACATAAACCACTTTTGCATTAACTGTGCAACATTTTAAATGCAAAATAATTCCAAGTATTAATTAAAAAATAAATTGAGGGATTGAGGGATTGCTTGTAATATTTATATCATATAATGCAAAGATTATATGTAGTGCAAATTTGTTAAAGATCAATTATGTAGATAAATTTAAGCTACTAACATTTAATCTAAACGATCTAAAAAACAGAAATTGGTATAATAAAAAGAGGAGGAGAGAAGCCAAATTAAAGACTACAGATTTTGAAGTATAAAAGTAAGAGTGTTATTATAGTCTCAATTCCAGTGTAATCAGAGTTCTAAAAGTCACAAATATCAATACAATACAAGATTGGAGATGTGTTAGTGAATATATAAAATTTACAATCTCTCTACCTTTACACTCAACTTTTATCTATTTATTCAACCTTTTTTTCCAGATGTGCTCCTACTTTTACATTCTTGTGGCTCTGTGAACCAGAAATTGAAGACTTTTGGGTATGTTTGAACTGAATAGAATGGTTTTGGATTTGTACTAAATTTTCACACATGTTTTTCTTAATCTGTTGAACTTACATGGCTGGTGACTTGAGGCAATTTCTTTGAAGAAGCTTGGCCTTGTTCTTGTGGGCCTTTTAACAGTTTCTTATATGGCTTGAGATCTACACATACAGTCTGAGAAAATCTACAGGCCTGAAATTAACGTGCCATCATTAGGAAATAATGTTTCCTTCGGTAGCATTCAAACGGACATTAAAAGCTGTTAAAACAATTTCTTCTAGTAGGTATTTGGATTAGCTTGTTTTGAGTGATGTTACGCTGTATGAGGTAAATATGTTAAAAAGAGTTTTATCTCATAAATGACAAAAGAACTTTTTTTTAATTGATAAGGTGTAAGAATATCTTCTGCTTTGGCCCAAAAAGGGGGGGGGGAAGAGTATCTTCCGCGCGTTACCTGATGATTTTGTGCTCCCAGTGAAAATGGAATTTTCAGAACAGCCATAAGTATCTGTTCCTACAGAAATGCCACTATAAGAAATGTTACTAAACCATCTTCTACCTCCTAAATCTTTTTCTCGGAAAGTTGGATCCGTACCCCATCAAGAGGAGCCTGTTCCGCTATTCTTCAGATCTTTGAGTAATTGTAGCTTCTCAATTTCTTCATCTTTTTCAGAAATGGTGTCCTTGAGAGAAGCCACCTGCCATGTCAAACAGAAAAACAATTAGACAATGCATGAAGGTTATCACTAGCAGAAGATGTACCTAAAAGGGTTAGATTACTTGGCAAGAAGAGATAGTATGTATCCCCCTTTACCAACTCAGATTCAACTTCTCTAAAATGCTCTGGGTACAGTCCCAATGAACCTCCTTAACGGTTCTGTGTGCCACTAAGATTATCCACTAAGAGGAGGAAGGAAGAAGCCATGACTGCATTAAAAGAGCAGCACGAGGCAAAATTATGACAACTCAGACTTTGGGCACATTCATACGAAAGAGGAGGATATCTGTAAGGTCACTGTGAGAATACACTGTGATGCATCACTTAGCTATGGCTCAGCTATTGAAAACTTCTGCTAAATATGCCAACTCTATGTAAGGATATCTGAAGGTCAGCCCTAGCAGTTAGAGCATGAAGAACATCTCCTTCGCTTATCTACTTTAAACTCATGATTCCAAGTTCTTGAGATGTCCCTAAATAATGGTTGTTTTGGACTCAAGTAAGTATTGCCTCCCTTTTCTTTGAAAACAGATCAGCTTCACAAGTTTAGTTAAAGACTTCTCCAGTTATCACCAGAGATTCTAGGAATTGACTGCACTCAAAATCCAACAGGTACGCTAAATTTTGGCTTCCGTGAAGAGCAACTCTGAGATATTTGCCAAAAAGTTTGTTCTGTCCTATACCTTTCATTGCATAAAAGCTCAAAAAATTGAAAAAAGAAAAGAAAAAGAAGTTAAAGCCATCTTAGCAAGATCACACTGGAAAAACCTACTAACAGGTTTTCAGCACAATTCTTAATCGGTTAGGAGTAAGCACACTGACTCTAGATGCTTCACAGTTTTAAAAGATACAACAAAATCAACTGCTATATATGAAACCAACTCAGGGGGGTCTAGTTCATATCCAAAATGCTGATAAGTATGTAACAGAACCAACTTTAAGGATTTGGTAGACAAGAAAGTTAAGCACCTGCTCCATTAATTCTCTAACATCTCTGCCCTCTTTGGTACTTCGTGCAGCTCCTAACTCAACTCCGGAAACCCTCTCAGCAAATTTTAATGTGCTTAGAGTTTCTGAAGCTGAATTTACATCTGGATTGACTTGGACAAACATAAGTGTTTTTGCTTGGCCACCTGTGCAATAAAAACAAAGATGAAATTTATATATAATGAATGAGAAGCTCAGCAGAAAATCTAATCAGGGAAGTTAAAGGGATGCCGACAAATCTTGAAACACTAAGCAATGCAAAAAACTTTTTGTTAACTAGTAGCTGCTATTGACCACTTCAACTCTATAAGCTATTAGCTAAACACTTATGAATTGATTTATTAGGTTAGAACCTTTAACAAATCCCATGACATAAAAAGCCTATTGGACTTGACGTGTTGACAAAGCACAGCTAACCGTACCTTGTTCTTAAACTAAAACTTTTTTCATATAATTAAGAGAATGGAAGACGAACTCCATACCACCTGGTTAAATAAGTCTTAAGAGTTAAGAACAGTAAAAAAATCATTCTAACTCAAAAGTTTAAACTTATGGATGGTTTTATTGTAATGTTATCAGTTGCAACTCAAGGCAAGTTAACCACAAGAAGATACCAAGAGAACTTTGCAGGAGTTGAGTAAGCTTGCTGTTTCTGTATGGTATATGGGCGCTCTTCTGAGAAAGGGCAGATATGACATCTCCAAGGGCAGACAGTGATTTGTTTATATGTTGTGCTTCCTTGAGCCTATCCCCAGTTACTTCGGAGCGATCGACCCTTTCACTTCCTGCCAAATCTACCAAATGAAGATTGCCAAATAGACTAGAACCAGACTTTACATCCGTCCCCCGAACATGAATTGAGACCACACTGTGCACATAGGTTTATTGAAATGAATATCATTGTATTAGAAAACTTTCCATGTTAAATGTCCAAGAAAGGAAAAATGAAAGGCTTTTCTTGGTAGGCGATGCCTACACCATTATCTCCGGACCACACCCGTAAACAAATGAAAGTCAATAATAATTCTAACTCGGTGAAGCCTCCATGCAACTTCTGTGGCAAGATCATTTGTGAATGTGATCCATGTAT